GCCTTACTGACAAGCAATAGCTTACGTTGGCTTTCCTACTTTTTGTACACATTAAGTAATAATCAACTTGATAAAACTTTTTAAAAAATTACACAATTTAAATACTACTAATAAAAGTTGGGATATTTTGTGGAATGATTAAATGCACACGTTTTGAATGTATACATGAGGCTAGGGCATTAGCATGTGTGTGGCCTTGAGCCCAGTCTCCCATACCACAACCAAGTTAAATAAAATGTGAATAAATTTTCGGGAACTGTTGGGACCAGCCTTGGGACGGGCTGTGCTGTGTGCATGCCACGGTGGTGACAACATCTGTAAAAATAGGATGTTTCTGATTCCCACTTGTCTGGTCGAGTTGACTTTGCTCAGAGGCCTTTCTAAATTCCAGGTCTGCTGACTGAACTGCCACAGTGTCATTTCCCATTTCCCAGCTCACAGGCCATTAAGCAATCAACTGTGAATGCAGCCCGGGGATCAGGATATGATGGTGGGTTTTCTTTCACTTCCAGGTTACGCCCTGGAAGGTCAGCTTCCCTACTTCCTACTGGTTATCATGGACTGGTAGCAGCGTCTGCTCCCTCGGAGCACTTCTGTGCTGTAGTCACTTTACCTGCTTCTCCTGGGAAGTGATGTTGGTTGTAATCAGTTTCCTACAATGGTGAGGTCTGCAGAGATCCAAACAGCGTGCAGTATTTCTGACTTACACCTGGTTCTTCCTTTCTCCCCTATACCTTCCCATTTAGTAGGCATCTAACGAATACCTGATGGGACTGTATTAGGCAGGAAATGAGAACGTTCTGAAGGTAGAAGTTACTTATAAACATAGAGAAAGAAAGAGCGTGGAGTGCACATAGCCAGATCATTCATCAGCAAAGAAGGGGGGGCTTGATTGTAGAAACATTGGCAGAAGCTAGCGGTGGCTACAGAGTAGAGAAGGACAGGCGAAGTGGCATGCGCCTTTAATCGCAGCACTTTGCAGACAGAGGCAGAAAGATCTCTGAGTTGGAGGCCAGCCTGGCTTAGTGTCTTCTTCATTCTGCAGCCACAGCCACACAACACAAGAAACAAAACAGAAAGGAAAACCAAACAAGAAGCAAACAAAAAGAACAGCGTGCAGGTAGGGCAAACCTTGGTGTGCATGGTTATTAGCTAATCTATGGCCTGTTAGCATCCAGGTAGTGTTCTTGGTAAACCAGCTTTTGAGGGGTCTCTGGAACATACTTGCATTTGGTGTAGAAATCCTCAAGATGCCTCTTTCCCACCTAGCGTTGTACGTCGCGGAGAAAGAATGCAGGAGAGAGGTGGGGATGGCAGCTGCCGCTGACCATTGCCCTGTGCCTGTGACAGGTTTACTCTGTGAGGAGCAAACAGCACTTCCTCGTTCATGCTGGGAAGTTAGGGTTTGTACTGTTCATCCATGTGTGAACAGCAAAATGCACACCATGGTTGAGATGTTTCTATGTTAACACACCCAGTGGGTTAAAACTTTCCGTGTGCGTGGATCTAGTATATCTTGTAATAATAAGGAATTTAAGTAGAATCTGTGATTAGCTTCTGAATTTTCACAGTTGAAACAGGAAAGAGACAAAAGCGCTAAGAACTTGCTTAGCTGAAAAGTTAGTTTTCTGACTTTAAGGCTGGTGTTATTAGTGAATAAGAATAGTCTTTTTGTTGTTGTTTGGCTTTTCAAGAGAGGGTTTCTCTGTGTAGCCCTGGCTGTCCTGAAACTCACCCTGTAGACCAGGCTGGCCTCGAAGTTGCAGAGCTCCTCCTGCCTCTGCTCCCAAGTGCTGGGATTAAAGGCATTCATCACCACACCTGGGTATGGTGAATGAGAAGCTTTAACAGCATAGTCAGACATGACAGTTCATACCCTCAGATTCTGTCAACAGGGAAATTCCACCAAAACAGTATTGTATTTGAAAGCAATGGACGTTGGAAGGGACTTGGGCTTTTGACATTGTGTTTGCTCAAACTGAAGAGCCAGCTCCCTAACCCTGGGCAGGAATCAGGTTCCACACCCCTCCCTTTGAAGGGACAGCCAGTGTGTTTAATATCTCTGGTTTCTCTTAGTGCTTATCTGTGAGCACAGGGACTTCCTTACCTCCCACACTTCCCCATGTGAGAATTGGAAGTGCATGGTATGGTTGAAGTGACCAAGAGTACCTGCGCAAGGCATGTGACACTGAGGTGAAGAGGCATTGCAGTTCTAGTTGTTCATTGAGTGAGGGTTGCTTAGGGTTGGGGGTCAGAGGTGAAAGTCGATATAGAGGAGGAAGATGCATCATTGATGACAGAGTTATTGATCTGGGCAAATGGTAGAGCTGTTCTCTGAGCTAGAAATGCAGATGGGAATGAAGTGCATGAAGGGAAGGAAAAATTCAGTTTCAGGCACATGGAACCTTAAAGGCTGTGCATCACAGGGAAGCATCTTTTATTTTAAGGGTGGGCATGGAGCTCAGTGGGAGAGTGTGTGCCACAAGCATGACTGGTTTCTAGCTCATATCAAGGATGCTGAGTTTGAGTGAAAAGAGAGGACTGAGTTCTCCACATCAGGCAGAGATGAGGGTCGAGCTTGTAGACACACACTCAAGTACTTAACAGGTGTGGCATGCAGGTGTACCGTTGGTGAGGAATAGGAGGAGAGCGTCCTAAGTGTCAAAAGTGAAGTCTTTGCGCCCATTGGCACACTGGTTTGAAAACATCCCTGCAGGCCTAGAGGACTTTGCTGAAGCTGAATTGTGATAGTGTGGGAGACGAGAAACTCAGCCAGAAGTGAGGAATGATGCAAGGTATGCAAGAGACGTTGTTTTTCATGGGGTGAGATTTCTGCCAAGTCCTGAGTTATGGGAGGCAAACGGGGAGAAGTGAAGCAAGCACATGACGCAGGAGGAAAGGCTCAGTGACCAGTTCATTGAGAACAACCAGAGATGGGGAAAATGAGCTGGCATGTGTTTTTAAGTTAGAGTTTCAGAAATACTCTGCATGTGTGTAATAGTCTGAACTAGTATGTGGGTGACTGGCAGTCTAGAATTCATCTGTTGAAAATTATTTGATAACAAGACTGGTTTTCCCTGTCAGTATTCCAGACCTGTAAGCTCCTCAGGTAGAATAGCACCCACACTTTTTACACTAGCACCTTTTACCATTGACATTTACTCAGTTCCCAGTTAGAGCATAGTTTCTTTGTAACTGACCTGGCCCAGAGTGCTCTTGAATCAGCTAGAAATGGCAGAAACACCGAGAACTGACTGGGAAAAAATATGAAGTGCAGGTTTTGCCTCTTCCCCTGTGAAAAGGAGTAACAACACTTATAAAAGACATTCGGCATGTGTTTGCTCTGTGCCGTGTGCTAATACGCCATGCCCATGCTGAATAAAACATCCAGCCTACACTGAGCATGTGCTTCTTGTGTGCAAGGTGATGACACCATGCTCATTTGCAGTTCCCCTACACAACGTGATAACTCTCTCGTTATGTTGCGAGGGAGGGAACATTCTTAATTAAGCAGCTACATGGCTTGAGTGTGTAATCAAGGAGAGGCAAATTTGTGTGGGCTGTGTCACTAAGTCACCCAGCATAATTACACCTCTGAAATAATTAAATAGAAAACAGTGGTAATTTGGTAATTATTTTCTGCACGGAAAAATAAAAACAAAATTCTTCCGTATGTTAGGTGATATATCCATGCACGTAATTCTTCCCCGTGCTGTAGAGGTTAGCACAAATTCCTAAAATGATTGAAAGGGAGACAGTGTTCCCCTTTCACATCCCAGTGTCTCCACCATTGCTCAGCATGGAGCTCCATCCGACACTGACGGCCTCTGTAGGACTGCAGGTGAAGAGGGAGCGAGGCCATGCCTTCATCCACAGCAGCAGACGTGGTACATAGTCAGCTAGGGAAGAGCTTTTGTGCTGCAGTGTTTCTGCCTGGGGCCCTTGGATTGGCCATGGCCCTGGTCTTGTGGTAGCTGGGAAGGATAAAGGGTTTTCTGTTCCAGCTTGGCACTGTCCCATTCTTCACTTTCAGTTGCTCGATTCTGTGTTTGCCCTCTGAGTTCTTTGTTCTGTCTCTTAATAAGATTTTAGATGGAAAGGAATCTTAAGTTTGTGTTGACTAACTATTGTGTTGACTAAAATGAACCACTAAAAAGATACTGTTGGGGGGAGGCAACTCTATAGAAGAATGGGCAAAAAGCAAATTGTTGATTTGAGACAAGAACTATAATTCTCAGGGTAAAATAACAGTATGTATTGTAATTGTCTAAGCATTGCTACTAAACAGAGAAAGCTTATTAAAGTAAATGCATTAAACAGAAGCTCGCTAATTTATTACAAATACAAGGATGAAAGCCAAAACTGTACCTTTCCTATTTCTGTATTAGCGAGCTGTTATGTACATGAAGACAGCTGTGAATTTTGTTGTACTTGTTTTGATTACAATACGGAGTCATTGTGCTCCTGCAATTGGGGTAGCCTGGATCCCTCTGACCTTCATGGTTTGTCGTTGTGTTTGTTTGTTTGTTTGTTTGTTTTAGATTATAAAATTAGGGGCTGAAGAGATGGCTTAGCAGTTAAGAGCACCCAGCCCAAAGGACCTGGGTTCAATTCCCACTACACACCCGGCAGTTCTCAACTGTCTGTAATTCCAGTTCTAGGGGATCTGGCACCCTCACACAGACATACATGCAGGTAGAACACCAATGTACATAAAATAAGGAGTGTAAAAAATGTTTTTAAAAAAGTTGTGAAGTTTTTGTTTTACATTTAAAAATTCATCGGATGCTTTTAAGTTGGACACAGATAAGTCAAATCTGAAAGTCTGTTTGAAATTCAGTTTTCCTCTGTAAAATGGGAAATATTCTTAATAATATATTTAGCATAAAAACAAGTGTTACAGGATGAAGGAAAGTAGTTGTAAGGACTTGGCACATGGTGGGTTTCTCCTCTCTCAGCTTCCTTCCTTCCTAATGGTTTAATGCTTCTGTTCTGTCTAGATATCTGACATTCATGTAACTGGACAGTCAGAGGACATGTCTGCAAAAGAACGCTTGCTACTGTGGACACAGCAGGCGACAGAGGGTTACGCTGGTGTGCGGTGTGAAAATTTCACCACCTGCTGGAGAGATGGGAAACTATTTAATGCCATCATTCATAAATACAGGTATGTAATATGTGTTTTTCCCACATGTGAATACAGGTCATGCTTTCACTTCTAACCTTTCAAGAAGTAGTACATGTGCATAGCAGAGAAGAAGTCAGGATAAAATAGAAGACAGCACACTGCTAACCACTGCTGAGTTAGTACTCTAAACTGCAACACACACACACATGCGCACACACACAGACAGACCCATACACACAGAGAGAGACAGACACAGAGAAAGATAGACAGAAAGCAACAGAGCTGTATTACGCCTGGATATTTTTCTACAACTTAGCAGAAATTAAGATCTGATGCCTACAGACCTGCAGGTCAATGATCTGGATTTTATCTATAGGGAAGTGAGGAGTGGGAAGGCAAAGGTCTATAGTTCAAAGGCTTAACAGTGTATCCATTTCCAAGTCTTATTCTGTCATTCTAAGAGGTGACTGGGCAGCTGATTTGGGGTTGGCAAACAGTTTTCCTATGCAAATTTAGTAAGTCTTACTCTTAACAACTGAAGTAACAGTGAGTGTCTACCATTATTCTAAGCATTGATTAATTTAATTTTCATAACATCCCTCTCGTTATCCCTAACTAGACATGAAGCTGAGATACTGGGTAAATATTTGCGTAGTCATAAGACTAGCGAGTTTTGGACTTGGGATTCAACCCTGCCAGGCTGGCTTTTTGATCTGCTTTTACTGTCTCACTAAAATTTAATCCACAAAAAGTGTTTATTGAAGACTTACAGGTTTAACCTCAGTTATTTTCTTTGATTTTTACAAAGATTGTTCCATTTTTGAGAACCAAATAAATCTGTTCACAAACAGATTATGTCTAAGCTATAAACTTGTTAAACTGAAAAAGGTATTGGCTATAATAAAAATCGTACAAAACTAGTAACAAACTCTTCAGGTATCCACACTCAACAGCCCCTACTTTTATGTGGTCTGGTAGCCTCCTTCCTTTATGGAAGCTCTTACATAGAGGTGAGTGGAGGTTGCTGAAGAAGAAAGTCTGAGTCCACTCGCCTGCTCCTGTTTAGAGTAGACGGCGGATACTGAGCGGCATGGTGGTACATACACGTCCGCGCTTACCCTGCCTGCTCCAGGGACTCGACACTACGGCACTGCCAGCTCTTTCTCCAAAACTTACCAGGCAGTATACAGGCATTTCTAAAGGCCAGCTTTCTAAAGTCATCTGCTCATAAAAGATGAGCCATGGTGGCTCATACTCGCAGTGTCAGCACTCAGGGAGCTGAGACAGGGGGCTCACAAACTTGAAACCAGCCTGGATTCTATAACAAGACTGTAAATAAATAGGTAGATAGATGGATAGGTGATGAGTAAGTACATGTTCTCTCTCCCTCCCTCTCTGCCTCTCCCTCTCTGTCTTTCTCCCCTCACTCCCTCGCTTCTTCCCTTTCTCCCTCCCTGAGAACTGCCTCTCCAGGACACATTAAGGATTACATGAGCAAACTGGCATACATACGTATATTTTTTAATAAGTCATTTACATCAGAGATCCTAAAATTTTCAAGAGAAATTAGGTTCACTGTCACTGCTTTTGGTGAGATGATGGGGTCTTTTTAAAAAGATAATTTACCTTAGGTGCGTGCACGTTTATTTGTGCACCACTCGCCTGCCTGGCGTCCTTGGAGGTCAGGAGAGCAGGGTTGCAAACTGCAGTGTGGTGCTTGGTCCTCTGGGAGACTCCGGGCCTCTCCTGGCTGCTAAGCCATCTCTTTCTAGCCCAAAAGTTAGGGTTGCAGTTTTTATTCCGTCACTAGAATTCTTTACAGAACTTAAAATACCATCTCTATATGCTTGCAAGGTCTCTGTTGCTGAAGTTCGGTTATAGTGTCCTTTGTCCCGTAGTTGGTTTCTTTTACTAAAAAACCTTAAGTCTGGAAAATGTATTGTAAAGCCCTTGGGCCTTCTTTAAGAAAATAATTTATTTCTTTTCTTTCAGTGTGTGTAAAAATTAAACAGATAGGCTTGACTTGCACACATTTCTTACTTTTGGGGGGGTTATTTGTTTTTGTTTTGTTTTTCAAGACATGGTTTCTTTGTGTAGCCTTCGCTATCCTGGACTTGCTTTGTAGACCAGTCTGGCCTTGAACTCTCAGAGATCTGTTTGCCTCTGTGTCCCCAAGTCCTGGGATTACAGGTGTGCACCACTGCCCCCAACCATTTCGTACTTCTTCATACTTTAATTTAATCCAGAAACAAAGGACAAGGTTATAAACAAGGAAAGTACCACTATAAGTGGGTTTTAGGGTATTATTAAGAATTTAGGAGTAGTGTTTCATTTTATAGATGGTTTTACTTAACCATTTCCATACAATTAATTTCTTTTTTTTAAGATTTGTTTATTATATATACAGTATTCTGCCTCTATGCCAGAAGAGGGCACCAGATCTCATAGATGGTTATGAGCCACCATGTGGTTGCTGGGAATTGAACTTAGGACCTCTGGAAGAGAAGCCAGCAGAAACTCTCTAGCCTCTAAGCTTTCTCTCCAGCCCCTCCAATACAGTCTCCATGAATTTAAATTTGCTGTGGAAACTTGTATTTAGTAAGGTTTCATATGTTTTATTTATTTAGGTAAGAAGCTTTACTGACTATTAGATTTCATTAGGCTTCTGTAATAAAACTTATCTGGGCTATCCCATGGGCCTGTGCTAAACAATTGGATACCTATTAGAGGACCTTTAGAGATGGCTATGTCTGGGGTAGATGTCCTCAGTGGCTGGGGTAGATGTCCTCAGTGGCTGGGGTAGATGGCAACAGTGGCTGGGGTAGATGTCCTCAGTGGCTGGGGTAGATGTCCTCAGTGGCTGGGGTAGATGGCAACAGTGGCTGGGGTAGATGGCTACAGTGGCTGGGGTAGATGGCTACAGTGGCTGGGGTAGATGTCCCCAGTGGCTGGGGTAGATGGCTGCAGTGGCTGGGGTAGATGTCCCCAGTGGCTGGGGTAGATGTTCCCAGTGGCTGGGGTAGATGTCCCCAGTGGCTGGGGTAGATGTCCCC